CAGCCACTTGGGAGGCTTAGGCACAAGAATTGCTTGAGCCATGGAGATGGAGGTTGCGGTGAGCCGAGATCATGCCACTGCACTCCAGCCTGGGTTAGACAGCAAGACTCTGTCTCAAAAAAAAAAAAAAAAAAAAAAAAAAAAAGTTGCTCACAGTTTTATAAACTAGGAAGTCCAAGATCAAGGCACCATTTTGTTCTCCGGAGCTGCTTTAAATGATCCCATCCTATACCATGATCCACACATTCCTAATTCCAAAATGAGTATCTCCAGTGTGTGCCTCTCGGCTAAGCTCCAGTGTTACAGGCCTATCTTCCTGCTAAATCGTCTCCACTTGGAAGTCTATGCGAAACTCACACTTCACACACTCCAAATGGAATTATCTTATCCCCTTTAAATTCTTTCCTTCCCAAGTCTGACCCATCTCAGTAAACAGCACATTTGCTCAGTCAGTAAAACCTGGAGTTCATCTTTGACTCCTCTTCTGCCTCACAGCCAATGCACACGTTGTGTTGGCTCTACTTTTGAAACGCAACAGTAATCCAACTACTCTTGAATACCTCCAGTTACCACCCTAAACTCCAAGGAGATTGTAATAGAGTAGGACTCCTACTCAGACCATCTGTAGACAGCCTCCCCACTTCAGTGATCCTTTTAAAACCCAGACCAGATCACCTTACCCTCTTGCCTGAAACTTTCCTGAGGCTTTCTATTATTCTCAGCTTAGACAAAGTCCTCACTGTGGCCTACAAAGCCATATGAGATCTGGTGTCTGCCAGCCTCTTATGTCGTAACTCGCCTTCCCTCATCATTCTGCTCAACCACACTGGCCTCCTCCCTGTCCTCAGTCATGCTGCTGTGGTCTCAATGTGCGTGTCCCCCCCAAAATTAGTGTTGAAGCTTAAATCCCCAATCCGACAGTACTAAGAGAAAGGGCCACTGGGGAGACGGTTAGGCTGAGGACTCTATGCCCCTCTTATGCATGTGAGGATGCAGTGAGAGGAGCACCCACGAAGCAGAGCTACTTTCATCAGACAGAATGTGCTGACACCTTGATCTTGGACTTCCCAGCTTTCCGAACTATAAGCAATACACTTCTATTATTTATACATTTTACCCAGTCTAAGGCATTTTGTTATAGCAGCCCAAACAGACCAAACACATGCCTAGCACTCACTCTTCATGACTTTTGCTCTCCTGGAATGCTCTTCCGGAAATCACATGGCAAACTCCCTAACTTTACTGAATTCTCCTCACGAACGTCACCCACCTCCAAGAAGCCTTCCAAGTCTTCCCGGTCTAAAATACTTCTCTCATCCACTCCTCTTCTCCATAGTATTTAGGGTCACCTGACATGATATAGTCAATCCTCATTACTCACAGATTCTGTATTTGTGAATTCACCCACTTGCTAAAATTAATTTGTAACCCCCAAAATCAATGCGTTCAGTGCTTCCTGTGGTCATTCGTGGACATGCATGCACAGAGCAGAGAAAAATTTGAGTCACCTGACGTGCACATTCCCAGCTGAGGTCAAACAAGTCAATACTGCACCTTCCTCTTCAGTTCACACTGTAAACACGTGTATTTGGTGACGGGGGTTGGGGGGTGGCTAGTGTCTTTTTGTTGTCATTGTTGCATTTTTTTGTGTGCTTTTTGTTGATTTCACTGTTTACAACGTCCTCAAGTGCAGTCTAGTGTTCCTCTAAGCACAGGAGGCTATGATGTGCCTTATGGAGAAACTCCTGTATTAGGTAAGCTTCATTTAGGCTGAGTTACAGTGCTGCTGGCCATGTTAATGTAAAGAATCAACTATAAAGATCAAATAATATGTCTTTAAACAGAAACAAAAAAGGTTACATAGTGATTATTTGACAAAAATGTCATGACCACAGGCTAGCAGGAACCTGTTTTCCCTAGGAACAATATTTCAGTTTACGCTAATTCAGTGTTCATGACAACTTTATTGACCATAACTATTAAAAATGACGTGAATCAACTGTAGGTATCTCCTATTACTACCTAACATTGTATGTTTCCTGCTTAGAAGGCAAACTCAAAAGGAGCAAGGATTTCCTTCTATTGTACTGCCTTATCTCAGGCTTATAACAGTGCGTGGTCCTTTTAGCAACAATCTAGAAATATTTGTTGAGAAGATACTTAGTGCAAGTGAAGAATGGGCAATTTTTTTTTTTAAAACACGTAGTTTCACTCTTGTTACCCAAGCTGGAGTGCAATGGTGCAATCTTGGCTCACTGCAATCTCCACCTCCCGGATTCAAGCAATTCTCCTATCTCAGCCTCCCGAGCAGCTGGGATTACAGGTGCCCACCACCACACCTGGCTAATCATATATTCTTAGTAGAGACAGGGTTTCTCTATGTTGGTTAGGTTGGTCTCGAACTTCTGACCTCAAATGATCTATCAGCCTCGGCCTCCCAAAGTGCTGGGATTATAGATGTGAGCCACCTCACCCCGCCAGAACGGGCAATTCTTAACGCCCTCTCCTGCCCACCAAAAAAACTCAAGTGGACAGTATAGAAAATGTTCAAGCTCACCAGTGATCATGGAGGAGCCAGGGCTGGCTCCCCCTTCCTCCCCAAATTACGATGTAGCGTTGGTGAAGGCCCGGGGAAGTCAGTCATGCAATCATCACAAAACCTTAAATGTGCACATTCTTTGACCAAGCAGCTCCGCTCCTGGAAAACAAAACTTGGATCCCTGCAAAAACTCGTCAACAGGGGTAACTGCTGCAGCACAATTAACAATGGCAAGACAGTATAAATCACCCTAGAAGCTTAGATTAGTGAAACAATGGTTATACATAGATACAATAGAATTTCACTTTTTTTTTCTTTGAGATGGTGTCTTGCTCTGTTGTCCAGACTGGAGTGCAGTGGCCTGATCTCAGCTCACTGCAACTTCCACCTCCCGGGTTCAAGCAATTCTCCTACCTCAGCCTCCTGAGTAGCTGGGACTACAGGTGCCCACCACCACGTTTGGCTATATCGTATTTTTAGTAGAGGCAGGGTTTCATCATGTTGGCCAGGCTGGTCTCGAACTCCTGAACTTGTGATCCCCCTGCCTTGGCCTTCCAAAGTGCTGGGATTACAGGCTTGAGCCCCTGCACCCAGCCGGATCTCACTTTTATTTAAAGTCTATATGCATAAAATAGGAAAATGTTTGTAGTCATTATCACTAAGTATTAAAATGCATGATCAAAAATCTTTGTTTTTTATATCTTCCCAGTTTTTCCTTGACAATATGCACTACTTTTGTCGGGAAAACAAACAAACAAACAGAAGTTTAGGAGTAAATTTGACAAATAAATTATGAAATGCTGAGTCCCTAGCAGAGAATTTTACCTCAAGGACACTGGCTGCCAGCCTTAAACCTCAGTAAGCAGTGCTGTTAACTCAAATCTCCACGGCAGTGCTGCTGTTTGGGCATCCTACTTTCAATGAAGCCTGAGAAGTGGAACATATATTGATAAACTCAGCACTCAACTGCTACGGTAGCCAATCCACTCAATCTCAGCTCTACAACTGAAGAGCCGTACAGTCTCCTTATCTGTAAAGTGGGATGAAAGTATCTCACTCACAGGAATGTTGAAGTCTAAATGAAATAACATTTACCTCATATATAACAACCAACCAACATATAACAAGCCTTATAAGCATGGGTTATTATTCTCTCCCAAAACAGAACTGTTAGATGGTGTCCCACTCTGGTTACAGAAGTCAATGTCCTGGGAAGAGAGAATTTGTGATAACATGAAACGTTGTACATCATCACAAAAATAGGTAACTTTCTTCTGTTACAGATTTATTTACAGATTTACTGATCACCTAACATTACTAAAGTTCAATAAGGTTTCCTGCCACCCCTCTGTATGGAGATCTAAAGGAGATAAGTGATACAGGGAAAGTTTACATGCCATAGTACTCTACTGGTGTAACAAACAGGTGTAGGCTCTTAATACAAGGCCACACACAGTAAGGAAAACTGTCATACATTCATATACCGTATACCACTTAAATTTGTACAAACTCTTGAACTAATGATGGTGGCAGGTGACCCAGTCAATCTGCTATCACCTTGGCTGCAGACTCAGGCATCCCTGCACTTTTGGGGGCCTGCCCCCACTTCCTGGCTTCTCCCTGCTGTTGGCACAGGTTTTCGGATCAAAGTCGGGGGAACCTAGAAGCCACGAACAGGGAGGGCCTGAAGGCTGGGGGCCAGGCTACCAGTCCCACCTATAGGAGTGGGAACTGGTGTCTTTTCCAGGCCTGTCTGTGGCCACCCATGGGCCAATCAGCATGCACTTCCTCCCCTCTGAGGCCCACAAAAAGCCCCAGTCTCAGGCAGAGCTGAGCAGAGGGAGGGATGACCAGCAGAGGGAGGGATGACCAGCAGAAGGGAGAAGTTACCCTCTCTGCTAAGAGCTTCAGAAAGCTACAAACATGGCAGAACCTGCCTGTGGAGAGTAGCTATCCCCTCCACGGCCTCCTCTTTCCTGAGAGCAGCAGACCTTTGGACGACCTGCCTGCAAAGAGCAGCTACCTTCTCCAGGGCCTCCTCTTTGCTGAGAGCTGAGAGGAGTTACCCTCTCCAGGGCCTTTTCTCTGTTGAGAGCGGAACACTTGAGGGACCACCTGCCTGCCGACAGATGGGAGCTACCCACTGCGCGTCTCCTTCTGAGCTGTTCTAACACTAAATGAGGCTCCGCTTCATCTTGTTCACCCTTCATTTGTCTGCCTACCTGGACGCAGGACAAGACCTGGGGCACCACAGGCAAAGAAAGGCACCACCAGCAACAGGCTTCTGGGGGAAGAAAACCACCCACCCCAAAGATCAACCATAACACTAACATAACCAAAATTTCAAATCTAAAAATTTAATGCACTCAATTGTACAAACTGCCAAAAACTAGATACCACTTTTCATCTTTAACATTGTAAAATCCTCAGACTCTTACAAGAACAAAATAAAACCAAAAAGAACACATTGAATGATTTTAATTTGTGTGACAGACTACATGCTCCAAGCGCAGAACCAAAGGTAAAACCTTCCATTTTGTTCATGGTTATTACACAAGTAATTACACAAGTCCAGTGTATAAACACTACCTGAACACATAGTAAGTTCTAAGAATAATAAATATTACATGAAAAAAGTTAACAAGCATTTATTCAATACTCAAACAGATATTCATCAAAATGAGGTAGATCTAATGGGTCACTTGCTAAAGCACTTAATGATGAGGGTGGAAAAAACTCATCAAAAATACCATTCTTTATGGGACTCTCCAAGTTTAATGTTCTAACGCAGGCATTATTTGTCAGAGAATCTGGCTGAACTTCACATGGATTTTTCTTGGTGGGGCTACAATAATTATGGTCCTGTCTCAGATGTGTGTTCTGGGAAACATCATTTAATTCACTTGGTACTGGTGATGGGATATCACTATCTCCCATTCCCAAATGCCTAAAGTCACCTTCCCCATTTTCTGACGGCTCTGCTGAAACAGCAGTTGTAGGAGACAATAATTCTGCTAAAATTTCTTCATGAGTTTGACTACCATACAGGGAAACACCAGGAACACTGGTGCATGCAGACTCACTGGCAATATCAATTTGATAAGGTAGCTCATTTAACAAGTCCTCTATTGATTCACAATCATTTGGAGACCCACCCTGGGACACCTGTTCTAGATTTTCACTTGGAGCTGTTCCACTTTGTGGGGAAGACATTAGAGCAGCTAATTTCTTCTTTTGTGCCTTCAGTTTTTTGCGAAGTTTTAGACGGAGTTTATGAATCTGACCTTCCACCAAGTCTTCATGGTTTGATGAAGAAACACCATTTCCATGAGAACTGTGCTTGAGTTGAGTGCTACATGAGGTGCTTCCAGACTTTTCCAAAACTTCTGAAGCAGCATGAGCATGCAGGGGGGCAGCTGTGCCATCAGACGACGGAGGGACTGCTGGTGGCTTACTGATGGGAGGAGGCTTAGTCGCACTCCTACGAGCTTTCTTGGATACATGGCTGGCCTTCTGATTTATACCTTTAGTTTTAAAGCCACCAAAATTATTTACCCCTTTAACTGCAGGTTGTAAATCAGTTATACTGTTTCTATTATGAGCTGCAACACAGAGTGGCATAAAAGAAGCACCTCTGCTTATTAAGCCTTTAACCCAACTGCCCACAAATGGCTTCTTCTGATTTTCTTTCAGAGACTGATTCTGTAGTAACCTAGATGCGGTCAGAGAATCTGCTGTAGTTTCTTCTTTCTTCAAATTAGATACCTGAGATGTGACATGTTCTGGTTTTAATTGTTCAGTTTTGGGTGTAGGGACCTGTTTTAACTGAGCATCCCTCTCAATTTCTACTGACTTCACTGCCTGTGTAAGACCAGTAGCATGAGTGTTACTCACAAATTTCGTACTTACAGTACCTTCTCTATTCAGCCGTGCTGACTGCATGTTGGTAGTTACAACTTGGGATGGAAAACTTATGCTTACAAATTGGTCCTGGATAAGCTTTTCTTTCAATGGAGCTGATACTGAAGAAGCCATTAGTGATTCTCGTGATTGCAAAGTACTTGTTTTGAGAATCCCTGTATTTTCTGCTACAAGTGTATTTTCTAACAGGAAAGCTTCAGAATTTAACTGTGAAACTGAGGCTGTTTTGTGGGTAGTTTCTTCAAGTATCAAAGGTAAAATATTGTCAACCAAACCTTTGGAACCTGAAAGTGCGTGCTCTCCATGAGTTACAGCTGAGTCCTGTGAAAGAGTATGATGGGCGACTGATGTATCTTTAGGGTGAGTTACTGAGGCTGTGTCAGCTGAGGCAGCATCACCCACAGAAAGGGACGTTGAAGATACTGGTTCCTCATTACCGACAGCGTGTTGGTCATTAGTCTTTCTAAGTGGAAGGCAGGCAGCTTCTCTATCTGTCACTTGGGATGTTTTTCTTTCCCAAATAACAATATGTATCTCTGAAGCAGGCACTTCAAATTTCTTATGCCTCTCAGAACATGGGCCTTTTAAGTCATCACATTCCAGCCAACTTCCTGGAAGAGAGAAAAGAAGTGAAAGTTAGATATGAAAAAATCACCACCCTAGGTTAACTTTCTTCTGGCCTTTTCAACTGTTCTATCATTGAATACCCACCAAAGGAGAAGACTCTAAAACATGGTCTTAGCTGGGCGTGGTGGCTCACGTGTGTAATCCTAGCACTTTGGAGGGTTGAGGTGGGTGGATCACCTGAGGTCAGAAGTTCAAGACCAGCCTGGCCATCATGGTGAAACCCATCTTTAAAAAAAAAAAAAAAAATTAAAAAACAAAACAAAACATGGCCTTGACCTTGTCACCATTGTCTCACGTTAAAGTCCTTAGACAGAGTATATTTAACTTTTGCAATTTAGAATTTCGTTATCACCTAATTTATCCAGTAACATCAGAAAACAGAATGTTTCATATATATAAATTTTCGTGATAAATGAAGCTTGTTACCCAAAGGATCAATATTCATTTGAATTCCTGTTGTATTTCTGACCTTGCATTTTCACATTTGTCAAGAGAATGAGATGATGGATGATAAGAGAAGAGTTGAGAAATGAGAAGGATGCACTGCCAAATACTGAGATATGAATACACAACATGGGAAAAGCCCATTACTTATAGCAGTGTGGTCGCTGGTAGTTACTTTTGCTTTCACAATTTCAGTGGTGCAGTAGTGACAGGGGCCCTTATGTCGTCAACTAAAGCATGAATGAAGAGTAGGAAGGTAACCTGTTTAAACCATTCCTTAAAAAAAAAAAAAAAAAAAAAAAAGACACCCATTAGGATGGATATTATTTTAAAAATAGAAAACAGCAAATGTTGGCAAAAATGTGGAGAAATCGGAATCCTTGTGTAATGCTGGTGGGAATGCAGAATGGCACAACTGCTGTGAAAACGGTCTGGCAGTTCATCCAAAAGTTACACACAGAATTACCACTGAGACCCAGCAATTCCACTTGTAGGTATACACCAAGAAGAACGAAAAGCAGGGACTTTCAGTTCCTTGTCCACCAATGTTCAGAGCAGCACTATTCACAATAGCCAAATGTCCATCACAGATAAATGGCTAACACATATACTACTACTCAGCCTTAGAAAGGAGTGACATTCTGCGATGTGCTACAACACAAATGAAGCTTCCAAATGTGCTGAGTGAAATAAGCCAGACACAAAAGGACAAATCACTTTCACTTCTGTAAGGTATCTATAATAGACAGATTCACAGAGACAGAAAGTAGAATAGTGGTTACCAGGGGTTTGGGGTGGAAGGATGCAGAGTTACTGTTCAATGAGTAGAGTTTCTGTTTGGCTTGAGGAAAAAGTTCGGATGGTGATGGTGGCTGCACAGCATTGTGAATGTATTCAGTGCCAATGAATTGTACACTTACGAATGTTACTATGGTAAATTTTATGTTATATACATTTTGCCACTGCAACAAAAAAATATAAAAAGTACAGCTGAGAAGTAAAGAAAGGTGGCTAGGTGCTAATAGGTGGTATGGGGTTAAGGAAAGGTATCTTTCTTTTTTTTTTTTTTCTGAGACGGAGTTTCACTCTGTCACCCAGGCTGGAGTGCAGTGGTGCAATCGTGGCTCACTGGAACCTCCGCCTCCTAGGTTGGAGCAATCTCCTGCCTCAGCCTCCCAAGTAGCTGGGATTATAGGTGTGCGCCACCACACCCAGCTGATTTTTGTATTTTTAGTAGAGACGGGGTTTTACCATGTTGGCTAGGCTGGTCTTGAACTCCTGACCTCAGGTGATCCACCCACCTCAGCCTCCCAGAGTGCTGGGATTACAGGCATGAGCCACTGTGCCTAGCCAAGGGAAGGTATATTTCTCTACATTTTACTTACTACTACATGATAATTTGAAAAAAGCTAACCACAGGCACAGATGAGTAACAACCTTTCTTAATAATCAACAAATATCTGTACTTTCATTAGAGACTTATCAAAACAATCCACACTTCCACTATATAATCAGTATCTACACATCTATGAAACAAAAATCAATACAAAAAGCATAATGTCATGGTAATTGTGGCACAGCAAATATGTAGCTTACTCTATTTCTTTTTTTGTCTTTTTTTTTCCTTTTTGTGGAGAATGGGGTCTCGCTATATTGCCCAGGCAGGTCTCGAACTCCTGGGCTCAAGCTATCCTCCTGCCTCTGCCTCCCGAAACCAAATGTAATAAATTAATAAATCATGATGTCAAACACCATCATATTTACTACAAAACATTTCCTATTTCTTGGATTATAATAGTGAGCACCTGAAGCACTGTATTTTTCCTAAGGAGTATATTATTTTAGAAAACATTATTTTAGCAGTAGAGAAGTGGCCAACATAGTGGTCATCATTTTATGTTGCAAAACATGTTTAGAGACACTTGATCTTAAATATTTGGTGTGCTCAGTTTCTTTTCCTTGTCCGGCGCATCTATTCGTTTTTGAAGAAAGATTTCTAAGAGTACACATAGAAAACGCATTTGATTTCCAGGTGTTGTGGCTCACGCCCATAATCCAGCACTTTGGGAGGCCGAGCAGGCAGATCACAAGGTCAGGAGGTCGAGACCATCCTGATCAACATGGTGGAACCCCGTCTCTACTAAAGATACAAAAATTAGTTGGGCGTGGTGTCACATGCTGGTAATCCCAGCTACATGGGAGGCTGAATCAGAAAAATCGCTTGAACCAGGCAGTCAGAGGTTGTGGTGAGCTGAGATCGCTCCACTGCACTTTAGCCTGGCAACACAGTTAAGACTCTGTCTCAAAAAAAAGAAAACTCATTTGACACATCTACCATAGTTACTTTTTCATGCTGAAAAAGACCACATCTTAAGATTATGAGAGGAAAAAAAGTACTCGCCACCAGGCTTCAAAGGCTTCCTATAAAGAACTAATCTTGAGGCCGGGCACAGTGGCTCATGCCTGTAATTCCAATACTTTGGGAGGCTGAGGCGGGCGCATCATGAGGTCGGGAGTTTGAGACCAACCTGACTAACATGGTGAAACCTCGTCTCTACTAAAAACACAAAAATTAGCCTGGCGTGGTAGCACATGCCTGTAATTCCAGCTACTTGGGAGGCTGAGGCAGGACAATCGCCTGAATCTGGGAGGGAGAGGTTGCAGTGAGCTGAGATTGTGCCATTGCACTCCAGCCTGGGCAACAGAGTGAGACTCTGTCTCAAAAAAAAAAAAAAAAAAAAAAAAAAAAAAGAACTAATCTTGAGGAATGCAAAGATTAAGAAAGGAAAAAGAGACCTTTCCTTACACATTCCCCAAAGGGAAAAAGCTAAAGACCAAATTAAAATATTTATTAAAATATAAGATCTGATATTAAAAAAAGTAAACCGAGAACATAAGTCACATAACAGGCACGAATTCTGGTAAGTTTCAAAAGGGAAAACAAAATATGCTCAGAGATCTGCTAATCCCCCACATACACACAAAACAAAACTGTTCATTAAACATGTGGTTAATGTGGCTACACCCTTACCTACTACCTGAACCTGTTACTTCCCATTAAATAGAAAACTTGATGTATCTTTTGTTTGCCTCTGTCAGTGGTTCTCTACCACATGACCCACTCTGGAATCACCTGGGAAGCTTTTAAAGCAATGTTTAAAATAGTACTGCCATAGCATGTGCCTGTAGTCCCAGCTACTCAGGAGGCTGAGGCAGGAGGATCATTTGAGCCCAGGAGTTTGACAACAGCCTGGGCAACATAGTGAGACCTTGTCTCAAAAAGAAAAACGAAAGAAGGAGAGAAAGAGAGAGAGAAAAGAGAAAGTGAGAAAAAGGGAGGGAGGGAGGGAGGGAGGAAGGGAGGCAGGCAGGCAGGCAGGCAGGAAGGCAGGCCAGCCAAAAACCAATACCCAAAACACCCAATATTGATATTTGGGCCTAACCATCAAGGGTGATCTAAGTTACAACTTGGAAATGTTTAGAAGCTGGCCAAATGATTCTTATATGCTGTCAGGGTTAGGAACCATGCTGAACTTGAAGTGGATTGATCAATCTTTGAAATGCAAAAAAAAAGTTAAAATAAGTTGGTTCATATTGTGAAGAACTACCTCCTCTCAAATCTGAAAGAGGGGAAAACCTTAAGGTAATAATTACATTTATGATATAAGTTACAGTTTGTAAAATGCTTTTATAATACAGTATTGTGTCATCCATTCAAACCATCCCCAGGAGGAAAATAGCAAGTGTGAAGGAGTGTCCAAATAACAGAAAATGGTTATATCAAAGTGAGCCCTTATCACTGGCCTGATACAACCCTTTAAGGAGACTTGAGTTATCTTGGCTAAGACTAAGTGCACATTATGAGAAAAACAAACTCAGTAGAACGCTACATCAGACAAACAGAAGGCAAAATTCCCCAAATCCACGAACTGTGCTTACTCAGCTTTCTATTAAGAAGTTTAATTATTTAAATAAAGACTTTATCTTGATAGTAGCTGTTAGCAAACTATGTATTTCACAATGACAGAAGGGCTACATAAGTCTAATGAGTAATAGTCTTAGAAATATATGTCTAAAAAATAAAAGCAAAGATGTTAAGTAGGAAAAAAAAACTGTAAGCAAATAGTAGTATGTAATCTCATTCTTTGTCTAAAAAAGAAATACACCCACGCACCTGTGTTTACCCAAAATACATGATATAAGGAAAGAAAAAAATTAGGAAGGATACTAAAACCACCGTTTTTAACAGGTACAAGGAGGGGTAGAAGGCAAAGGCGAGAATGGAGAGAGAAAGAGTCGGGGCAAAGTTTGCCTTTTTTAAAAAAAAAAAAAAAAAAAAAAAAAAGCCCCCACACACTAAAGTTTAGTTTTCATGCCAATTATCTTAAAAGGAAACCTCTAAACACTTACCATCAGCATCTAAAATCCATGTTATAAAATGATTATTTGCTTGATACTGAATTACCGAAGTTATTTGGTAAAGACAGCCTTCAAAATGAAATGCATAATGCTCCAAGTCATTCTGTGGTAAGCCTTCTACAAAGTGCAACATGAATATGGGAGATACTCTGAGGGACAGAAAAGCAAAAGAAGTTACACAAATTTAATGCCATGTGTCTGGTTATAAGATGTCTGAAGTGAACTAGTCACAGATAACACTTTCAAGGCTAACTGCACGAATTGTTCTAGAGCGCCTCCAGATGTGTGCCTTAATTAGAAATGGAGAACTCTCTCTAAGAAGTATGTAACACTAAACCCTTTTCAGAATGGCATCCCAGACAGTTGGAAGTCATCATGCAGTAAGACTCTAACACAGACCATTAAACAAAAACTGCTCTGTAAGCAGCAATGCAGCTTTGGCTTAAAGATCTCATGGCAGCTACTTTGTAAAACCTAAGGAAAAAATCCAGACCTTTTAGAATTTTCTTTGGCATCAAGTGCTCAGATTAATTGCTTTTGCTAAGTGGGGTAGGTAATACATGAAAGAAAGCAACAAACCTAAGATACTCAAAATAAGCATTAATTTGGCCTATTTCAGTTATCTCAGGAAGCAGAGGGGTCTGTCAAATTAAAAGTTCTCCTTAGGAAAAGTCCAATTTGTAACTAAGTAGAGACAAAATACAATACATTGGTCAATTTATTATTAACTTCAAGATAACTATAATTTCAAAAATATATTTTACCATTACAGCAACATGCTGAACCAGAAAACACAGCCCAACGGGACTCAAATAACTAAGTTTAACAAAGCTCTCAGGATGTAAGAAAAATGGTGAATATCCCTTTTCCCAATATTTAAACAGCTGTCAAAACTTACTTTATCAAAATTTATTCAGCCCAAATGAACTTGAATCAATGTCCAAATTACAGATTATTCAGACTGACAAGGGATAATTTATAAATTAATCTTTGTCAATCATTTTGTTAGACAATAATCAAGTCCTCAAAATTTAAGTACCTACAAAATAAAAAGTCCTGCAAACGGTCTATAACACTAAACTCTTTCCCACTTTAAAAAATCATACCTATTTCATCAAATCTAAGATTTCAATGATTATAAAATATGCCAGTATGAAAACATGCTGCCAATTAAACTATATCATGACGTCAATTTCATACATTTCCATTTCAGACAGGTTAAAATGTGAACTGTATGTCTGAATCAATGATCCACAGTAAAACTTGAGATGTATTCACAGCAGGATATGTAGGCTTTAGGCACCAGACTTTTTTTTTTTTTTTTTTTTTTGAGATGGACTCTTAGCTCTGTTGCCCAGGTTGGAGTGCAGTGGTGCCATCTCAGCTTACTGTAATCTCCACTTCCTGGGTTCAAGACTCTCCCACCACAGGCTCCGGAGTAGCTGGACTACAGCTGCATGCCACCATGCCCGGCTAATTTTTGATATTTTTAGTAGAGACAGCGTTTCCCCATGTTGACTAGGTTGGTCTCAAACTCCTGACCTCAAGTGATCTACCTGCCTCGGCCTCCCAAAGTGCTGGAATTACAGGCATGAGCCACCAATACCCAGCCTGACTCTTTAATTACTAACATTTAGTTCCTTGACCTTCTATAATACCTTTCAATATACCTTCTAAGGCTAGTTACTAAAAAATCTCTTGATCCCTAGACTATGAAATCTCACTAGTTTCCTGCTTTTACATGAGCTTACACATGGAAAATGTTTAAGACATATTAACGTGATAAATAACGCATGTAAAACCACCTGACGCATTTTTATGATTTTTGTACATTCCAAATCTTCTATTCTTTTGCAAATTAATAGAAGTAAAAAATGCCAAAACCAAAATCCACGCTCAGCCCAATTCCCTGGATGTAGAAGATACTCCGACGCCAGCTGAGTACAAGCACATTCCCCTAGGTCGTAAGAAATGACTTGTCAGAAACCTCCAAAGTCTGCTATGAGATTCAGATAGAAATTTGATTTTCTCAACCATCAAAAAAAGAGACAACAATTGGAGCAATTATATGTTAAGTTTTAAAATATTCTCTTAATCACACTGGCCTTTCAGATCAACCAGTACACCAAAGCTATCCAGGACCTCACGTGGAGTGAAACGACGTACAACAGAGCCATAACGTAGAGTTTTACTACCATGTCAAAAATCTCAATGTGTCCTCCATAATACTTTTTATAACTATGAAACTTTTTAAGTCCCAAATGCCAAATGAATTCCAATTTTTTTCCTGTATGTTAGTATCTCTCATCTCTGAAGTTGGTATACACATTATCATTGATGGAACACAGTTAAACAGGCAGCATTTTTTTTTTCTTTTCTTTCCTTTTTTTTGAGACAGTCTCGCTCTGTTGCCCAGGCTGGAGAGCAGTGGCACAATCTTGGCTCACTGCAACCTCTGCCTCCCCGGTTCAAGCAATACTCATATGTATCAGCTTCTGAGTAGCTGGGACTACAGGCATGTGCCACCACACCAGGCTAATTTTTGTATTTTTAGTAGAGATGGAGTTTTACTATGTTGGCCAGAATGGTCTCAAACTCCCAGCCTCAGGTAATTTGCCCGCCTCGGCCTCCAAAACTGCTGGGACTACAGCGCACCACCATGCCTAGCCAGCATTTCTTTCTTAATGGCTATTTTTTAAATGGTGCAAAGTAGCATCTTGGAGTCAATCAAATAATATGCTTCCCCTTCCTTTTTCTGTTCCTCTTTAATTCCCCTAGACTCTGGTGTACTACCTACAATTCCAGTGTGTCTTATTTCTAGCCTCTTGGGTGACGGTAGAACTTTATCCCTAGGTCTTGTTGTCAGACTTCTTCCTACCCACAATGCCTGAAGTGTCAGTGAAGGATGATGCTCAGAGCTAAGGAGACCAAGTTAGGTTCTCCCTCAACCACTGGAAAATTGGATGAAAGGAATTAACCAAATTGGAACCAAGAGTGAACAAGAGATTTCAAGCTAAGACCTATTTGCATTCATCGAACATGGGGCTAATCTTAATTTAAAAATTTACCCTTAGGAAAAGAAAAGAAAATAGAAAAGAGAGAAAGCACAAGGGAACTGTGTTATCCTCTGCTACCCAAAGATAGCAGAGAAATACTGTGTCCCTGTCCCACAAAGCAAACTCACAGCCTTGCATTCAAAGAGATTGTGGCAGTAACCTTTCAAGAGTTTGTGAAGTTAAATGAAATCTGATTCTAAGTTCTTGGTGCTCCATGTCACCATGCTCTGAATGTAACTCCTAAACAACTTACTTAAATAAAAGTAGCAGATTTGGGCTGGGCACAGTGCCTCATGCCTGTAATCCCAGACCTTTGGGAGGCCAATGAGGGAAGTCATGAGGTCAAGAGATCAAGACCATCCTAGCCAACACGGCGAAACCCTGTCTCTACTCAAAATACAAAAATTAGCTGGGCATGGTGGTGCGTGCCTGTAGTTACTCAGGAGGCTGAGGGAGGGAGAATCGCTTGAACCTGGCTGGTGGAGTTTGCCGTGAGCCGAGATTGCATCATCACCACTCCGGCCTGGCAACAGAGCAAGACTCCGTCTTATTTAAAGAAAATAAATAAATAAATAAAGTAGCAGATTTGGGTCCACTAGACATAATTCACCTGAATTTATCTATGAACTCTTTTCCAATGGGGAGACATTAGAGATGTGGGCTGAGACAAGGTGTCCAAGGAACTTAGTGAGTTTTAGAATGCTGTATGTCTTAATTAATCACATATGATACATGATGAACCCAATTACTTTTAGGTTATCCCTAAAAACTATATTAAATTTGTTTCTAAATTCCATAGACACAAACAAATCAAGTTATACAAATTTCAAAATAATAACAACACAAAGGACTTAGACCTTGTTATTTAAAATTTAAGTGAAACTTCATACACTTAATTCAATTTACTTTTGAAGAATACAGGAAATGTCCACATTATAAATTCTGTTCCTAAATTAGCCCACTGGAACTCAAAACACATTTTCCATTAAAAGGCTATTTTACCTAATGGATCCATTTCCAGATCATCGCATGAGTCTTTAAGGTAAGCAACTTATTCTTACAGTTAAAAAATATATATGCTACAGTGCAACCAATTAACAGTTTAAACAAAACAATGGTACTATGTTCGCTGCGGGGGCATGGGAGAAAGCGGGTATGAACAGCTAGATGAAATCATATACACCAAGCAGCCTAAAGCAGGCCCATGGTCCAGGGCAGGAGGGCAGACCCCATGCTCTGCTGCTCTTCTCCTCACCTCATCAACACTTCCATCTCAAAACTGACACATGGCAGCCAAGACAGATTACAGACTTCCGTAATCTTCAGGCAGATCAGACACTTCTTCTTCCTTCCCACTTTGCCCTCCTACACAAATGCTATCAAATAATAGTGAAGGGCAAAAAAGATGCGAGTCCAAAAGGACAAAGAAAGGGAAATAAGCAAACAAGGAGTCAACTACATGTTTAGAGGACAGAAAGCAAACAGAGAGGTGGCACCTTACCCGACAGAATGGACAACGTGAAGACTAAGTGCTGTGGAATGCGTGTGCTGATGAGAAAGAAGAGCTTATTTCTCCCAGAGAACCCTTAAAAGTGTGGATATTTACGGCCACAGACGTGGTAGAATGTGGGGATGAGGCCTTGGGCTAAAAACTAGGATAGTGACTCTAAGTGTGGACATAAAAAAGCGCACCCTATGCTCTAGGCCCAGAGAGGAACCAGCACAGACTGCAGCAAAGAGTGCCAAGTGCCAGGAAAGTGTTCCCAGGAAAAAAAAGGGCGGGGAATGAGTAAAAAAACTGTGAAGCATCTGAGTATTGGAAATGTATTAGTAAGTGTTTAAAATATTTGGCAAAAACTCACAGTACATAGTAAAACAAATGAAGACAAGGCAAATAACAATTCCAGGAAAAATAAAGAATTGTAAAAGTGAAACCTAACTGTGTACACTACTTGACTGAAGAGGGAATAACATACCTATGTTCATAACAATGCAAATACCGAGTACTGATTTAGCCAGATACGCAATTGCATTGGAAGAACAGGGAAAGGCTACACCGAGATGAGGCCCAGTGTGTTGGTGTGAGAACCCCAGTCTCAACTGCTATAAAAGAACAGACCGCATTACGGTAGAATAAGCACATCAGTTTGAAATGTCAAAGTAAATACTATCTTAATTTGAAGATTTAAAGTAGCTACCTGGAGGAGAGGACAGGGGACTGCTGCCCTTTGTTCCTTTAAACTTGTGAGCACTGATGAACTGAGAATTTATTACTTCAATAGAATAAATCTTTAGGAAAGATTCTGAGGAGTTTCTGGTACATTCAAAGGGCATAAAGGTTAATGTTCCCAGTTCTTTATTACATCAAATTAGACCTCAAAACATTTCCTTAATGTACAATTTGACTGACAATGAAGAGTAAAGAGGATGTGTACATGTGTGAGTGCATTAACGAGAGAGAGATGAACTGCCTGAGATGGAAGTGACCTGTGAGTTGAGAGAGATGGGGCTCTGGAAACACCGGAAAAGGTGATGCTGACCAATCTCCCACTGAGGACAAACAGAAAAGCTGGCAAAATAGAATGAAAACACATCTGCTCAAGGGCACCACATAGCTTACAAGATGATGAGGAATTAGCACGCTTAGGAGAAGATGGAAATTCAGACAGATGAGCCTGTGGCTCATCTTTGAATCATCTTAGTTCTTAAAATCTGATTAAGGAAATCCCAGAATTCTAGAAACTCCAGGCACTTGGCAGAGGAGAGAAAAACTAAAGCCTGATACCTTTAAAGAAGAAAAAAGGCAAAAAGAAGGAAAGACACAAGGAGAGGGGGGCCAGAGTCAGCCTAAGTTGGCTCTTCAGTGGCTTCACCTGGGACAGTGGGCTGACTGGCCAGAGCGAGGCAGCTGGCAACTCAGAAATAAATGTTAACTCAAATTTCAGAAAGGCAGGTTGTTGTCACTATTTTCAATTCTACACATGAAGAAAAATGTAAGTCCATCTTCATTTTATACTAAAAATTATAAGACAATTTTAACTCACTTTTCCAATATCATTTTTCTTATTTGTGATTTACTGCTGCAATTGTTACATGGACCAAAATGGGCAGCATTAAGTGGGTGCCACTCAGGGATGACATTTGTAAAGGTGATCAGACTCTTCATACACCTATTAAAAAAATGACATAATAAATTCATTAATGTTAAATGCATTTACATTAATTTAAATCAATGTCTGAAAGTATTTCTCCCCTTTCTGGTGATTCATACTTTCTTATTTCCCCAAATCATGTTAATATGACAATATTCTCCCCTACCCCTTGTAAAGAAGCTCTGTGAAGATGTTCCACATTAATTACCCATAGCTTTCAACTACGGCATGAAGCAAGAAAAAAAGACACGGTTCCTCAACAATACCACTGGTATTTTTCACCAAGGAGCCTCTGCTGTGAAGCACTGTCCTGTGCACTGTGGGATGTTAAGCATCATTCCTGGCCTCTCCTCACCAGACACCACAACAACATCCAGTTGTCTCCAGAAGTTGCCGAATGTCCCGAGGGGGACAAAATAGCCCCTAGTAAGAACCACCATTCTAAGCTTGTCAAATTTATTAAAAGCTCACCCCTTACTCAAATAACAAACTGGCTAGTCGTTACAGACAACAAAAAATGAAAAAGGGTGTTTCTAAATACATAATCAGGAATACATACAACTTAACTTTTAATTGTGAACAAATTTTGTTTTCACAGGTTACACAAGTTCTAAATTTGCACTTTTGTCTGAAAACTTGAGAGCAACAGCCATCTAAAAGGATGATCTTTAAAGATGTACACTAAACCTCAACTGTATCCACTTTAATAAAAATGTTTTTAATTAAAAGAGCAGTTACATATTACTTAAGAGATACAAGCTTCTCTTCTAAACAATTGCAAAGACTGACAAATCCCGTGAGAAAGCACCGTCTGTTAAAAACAGACCACTACTCTGGAAGTTAACATTTTAAAAGCAAACCAACATAAAGGTCTCAACAAATGCACTGACTGTATTTCTGCTAAATTCTTAAATTTTCAAAGATTATTGTTAAGTAAAGGCTCCTATTTTTTAGTGTATAAAAAGGAGTCTGTCTCAGCGAGGAAGTGTTAATTCTCCGTGTGCCATCTGATGTTTCTGAGCACTTACTATGTGCAAGGAGAGCACGGCACTGGGTACTCATCTTCCAACAACTCTGAGGCCGGTGCTCTTCTCATCCCATTTTACAGATGGGGAAAGTGGCACGTAGAGTGCAGTGATAAATAACAGACCTGAGATCTGCCTCTGAAGACTACGTTTTTAACTGCCTCCAGGTTACACTTTCCAAGTTGAGTAAAAAGACCCTATACTGGCACTAAAAACAGCTTCATAAAAACAAATGAATTTGCTGGATAGTTTTCCTTCAGATTAAGTGGAAATAACTTCTAAGTTATGACATTAAAACACTTCATTTTAGCTTTCCTCCTATAACTATTTTCATTTTTAGGACAAAGGAAGGTTGTTTTTAAAAAACAAAAAAGCATATCAAAGCAGCTGGTGGCTTCTTTCTGTTGAGCTCTCATAGTTTGTGCTATATATCTCTAAAACACATTAATCATCTTGCATTCAAAGCTAACGTAAAGCAGCCCAAAGATCAGATTAATTACAAAGTCACTGGCTCTCTATTGTGTGTTCATGTATTTACCTCGCTACCTAAATAGTGAATTTGGCAAGGACAGAGACTATTTCCTGTGCCTGAGTTCCTGGCACACAGAATGTACTAACTAAAAACTGTCAAACAACTAAGATATGGATTCTAGAAAAGTTACAATTAAGCTGATTTTAATCAACAAGCTTATTTATGTTATTTCAAACCCAGGTAGTGATTAAGGAGTAGACCACAGTGAGCAAGGAAGTCTTAGAAGCCAGAGAAGCCTAAGTGTGTCTCCTGACTCTGCCACTGACAGTGTATCATCTTGGGAATCAATCTCACCCCCTTCAAGCTGTCATATTCCTAAGTGCCAAATGAGGACACTAGGATCTTCCTCATTGAGTTACTGTGAGGAGAAAACCAGATAATTTATATAAATCAATGATAGAAGTCTTGGAAACAGATATGTTCTCATATTCCCTTGTTTACACTAAATTATTTAAGTCCTAGGTATGAATAAAACGTTAATTCTCACCCTGTTCTAGTGGGGTTTTGGCGACTGCTACAAAAGTTTACTTAACAAAAAGTTTAATATGAAAATGTATCTGACCCAATTTTATCAGAGTAAAACAGGCCCTTTGGAAAGGGGACATGGGTTTCTCCTCGGAGCAGCCATTACATATCTTTGTTTCATGGCTTCTAACACGATGAAACTATTTCCCTGTAACATCACCATGCCAGTATCCCTGTTGCCCACCAGCTGCCAACTCCCCATATTCATCCATCTCAAAATTCATAAAGGGACCAAACCCTTGCGATATTCCTTGGATATGGCTGCCAACAGTTAATTTCAATGATAACTTCTTGTCTATAATTTTTTTCGACTCAGGAGGGTTAGCTTTGTTCACGGTGTCTACTGTGTGGCTTCCCTTACCCTGTTCTAGTAGATCTGAGTTACCTGGTTAAAAAAAACAAAACTACTTTGTTGCTTGCATTCCCTGAAGCATCCTCCCAGACTTAACTCTCTTTGACTGTTCCTTAATTTCCTAAAAAGGATTTCATATTTAGATAATGAGCATCTAAGTCATACATATACATATATATATATAGACATATATATATATTAAGTATTTTATTTGAGATGGAGTTTCACTCTTGTTGCCTAGGCTGGAGTGCAGTGGCGCAATCTTGGCTCACTGCAACCACCGCTTCCAAGGTTCAAGTGATTCTCCTGCCTCAGCCTTCTGAGTAGCTGGGATTACAGGTGCCCACCACCAAGCCCGGCTGTTTTGTATTTTTAACAGAGACAGGGGTTTCACCATGTTGGCAGGCTGGTCTCGAACTCCTGACCTTGTGATCCACCCACCGCGGCCTCCCAAAGTGCTGGGATTACAGGTGTGAGCCACGACACAGGGCATTCTAAGTAATATTTTTATCTCACATTTTACGTTAGTAACTTTGAGAGACTTCAAGTTTTCTAATTTAAGCAGGTAAGTTAAAGAAAAGTATGGCCAGGTGTGGTAGCTCACACCTGTAATCCTAGTACTTTGAGAGGCCGAGGTGTGTGGATCACTTGAGGTCAGGAGTTCGACACCAGGCTGGTCAACATGGCAAAACTCCATCTCTACTAAAAATTAAAAAATTAGCCAGGTGTGGTGGTGCAAGCCTGTAATCCCAGCTACTTGGGGGTCTGTAGCTTAAACCCGGGAGGTGGAAGTTGCAGTGAGCCAAGATCGCACGACTGCACTCCAGCCTGCATGATGGAATCGAGACTCCATTTCGAAAAAAAAAAGTAGAAAATATTTCTATTGTAATAATTTGAATAAATGACCAACAGAGCCAGTTTGGTCATTTCCTAACTGCCAGCCAGCAATTTTCTGAGGTATGGACCAAGTGAGGGTAACCTTCCAGTAATACCTCCCTTCTGTGACTCCTCTTATAAAACCTACTCCTCTCCTTGCATGGTAGGTATAGACTGAGTATCTCTTATCTGAAATGTATGGGATCAGAAGTGTCTCCAAGATTAAGAGATATCCTGGAGATGGGACCTGAGCCTAAACACGAAATTCAATGGTTTCATAGACATCTTATGTAAAGCCTGAAGGTAACAGGTACATCAATCATGGCCTTTCTAATACACTGCCGAGAAGCATTAGGAAAGTCGAAAGTATGGCTCGGCTCATGGGTAGGAGGCTTCTGAAGGCGGCTGGTCTTTCACAGGACTAAGGGAAGAAATGGGGAAGCTTGCATTACCTCTGAGAACTGCTGCTAGCCTCCAAGGGCCTGAAACCAGTGTCTATGATGTTAGAAACCTAAAGTAAACAAGCAAAACCCCTCCTCTCTGATAGAATAAACAAAACGTCTACAGTTTCACGGCATTCTCAGAGGTATTCTTACTCAGCAAGGACTCTGGAGAAGGGAGGTGTACTAATTCTTTCATGGTCCCTATTTCCAACTGAAGAACTCCTTAAGAAAACTTCTACTGGCAGTCTAACAAACCATGAGGTTTTGATCATTCCAGTTTAAAGAAGCAAGCAAACTACAGTGTCTGGTGCTCAAACTGTTCTCTTAACCTTAGTGGTGGAGAACTACAAGAACCCATTTAAAAAAACAAAAGAAACTAACCTGTTTTGATATTGATGTCCACACTGTGAACATTTGAAGTCCCAAGAAAAAGAAGATAGGAAAAGCTTTTCAATACGGGGTTCTAGTTTTAAGAGCAGGGGAAATGCAAACACAGGACTTTCCATATCACCTTCAAAAAGAAAAGGAAAAATTACTGCTCATAATTAAAAACAGCAAAAATTAAACCAGATTTGTGAACTACTGTCTTTTCTTACTATATTTACTGCATGAATATGTGTTAATACTGTATGACAGAGTAAGCCAGAGTTGGGAGAGGGAAAGTATATAAAGCATTTTTCTGAAAATGTCCAGCCTGAAGATTTAATTACCACTTCAATCTCTTTCCTTTTCCTTGGCAGACATTTATGAAAATGTCTTAAGATAGAAAAATCACAAAAGACCCATATTGTTTTCTACCTTTCCTCAGGAAAAAAAAAAACAAAAACCAAAAAACAACACATCAGAGCTATAATAGCCTTAGAGTATATTAAAACAAAAATTGGTGAGTGTAGTGGCTTACACCTTGTAATCTCAGCACACTGGGTGGCCAAGGCAGGAGGATTACTTGTGTTACCTCTGACAATTGCTACCCGCCTTTAGGAACCTAAAATCAATTTCTATGATGTTCACGACCAGCCTGACCAGTATAGTGAAGCACTGTCTCTACAAAAAATAAAATGAAATAAATTAGCTGGGAGCAGTGCTACACACCTGTAGTCTAAGCCACTCAGGAGGCTAAGGCAGGAGGCTCATTGGAGCCCAGGAATTTGAGGCTGCAGTGAGCTATGATCATGCCACTGCATACCAGCCTCGATGACAGAGTGAGATCCCTTCCTCTCAAGAAAAAAAAAAAAAAAAAAAAGAAACGGTTTGCTGCAGATGTTAAAAAAAAAAAATGTAACCAGTGAAACGCTGTAGAAACACATCAGAAGATTGGCCATTTCTATTCTGATCATCTTGTTTCACCTGTGGAGGGCGTGGCCACTCAATGGTTAAATGACCAGCCTCAACTCTTTGGACTCTTCATCTACCACTCTTCTCAACTTTTCAGTCTAATCCTTTTCTTTAAAAACTTTCTGACTGAAGAAGATTTGAATTTCACTGTCATTGAAAATAAAAACTGAACACTGAATGCTGGCTTCCAGCTTTGAGACTGGGAAGCAAGTTGAGGAGGAGAATCTACATGCTTCTCTTACATTCTTTCTCCAATTGGTTTCTCTCCTTCCTATTCTCAGAGGAGCTTAGATGCTGCCTTACTGATTTGGCCCAAGAGTCTGAGTCCTTCCAATAGGTGCTACTGCCTAAGCCAGGTGTCCCCAAACTACGGGCCCCCTGAGGCCCCCATCCGGCCCCCCGCCGCACTTCAGGAAGGGGCACCTCTTTCATTGGTGGTCAGTATGTGGCAGCCCTCCAACGGTCTGAGGGACAGTGAACTGGCCCCCTGTGTAAAAAGTCTGGGGACGCCTGGCCTAAGCAATAACACCTATTGTCAATGTGGGGTTTCTAAAAATTACTGATTACCTGAGCACCCCCAACCCCCGCCCCAATCCCTGAGATTATAATTTAAATGCCCCTAGCATTGACATTTACTTTTAAATTCCCTTGGTGCTTTTTTAATGCACAATTGAGGTTTAAAAATGCTAGATTTGTCTATGGGGAAAAGTACTAGAAAAGGACTAATGATATGCCCCCGAAATATTCTCCTGGTTCTTTCTGAGAACTGCACCCACTCTCAAGAGGCGAAACACTAGCCTACATATTTATATGGAACAGCGCTGCCCAACGATAACTTACCCAGTGGTAGATGCCTAAGTCAAACTACTCAGATTCTCTTCCAAGAATATGATCGTCCAAGGTAATAAAATGGTATTATATTTCCTTGTGATGTGAATATTTCTACATGGTAGATGAGTATAATACAAGTAAGTTATACCAATTACTTACCTAATGTGCATCTAAGCTGGGGCTGAAGTCTACTAAAAATTTCATCTCTAACTTCATTCAGACAGGTCTCTATCTCTGCAAATATTTCTGAGGTAAGTTTTTTACAATCTCCATCTAAGAAAATACAGAGAACATTATCAATACCTCATCAATGTATATCTTCCCACCGAATACTGAGAAATTCCCAAGAATGAAAGCTGAGTCAGTAAGTTTTGCAAACAAAAGGCACAAAAAGACACAAAAGGCAAAACACAACATTTCCTTAATAATTTCTCTGTACTATACTACATATTCCCTTACTGTATGTTATCAGCACAATATCATTAGTACTTACTGAATGGGTAAAATCTCAATCAAAGTGTTTCTTGCCCAAATAATCACAGGTCATAGCAAATAACTAACCTTCAGGTATATGTCTATCTATAAAATAGCTAAAGAAGTTACCTCTTTATGTGCAATTATCACTTATACTACAAATGATGTCTAGTCATTTACTGCATTCTGTGTAACTTTTATTGACCTTAGCCAGATCATAGGAACTGGTAATATATTTTTTTTTTGAGACAGAGTCTTGCTCTTGTCCCCCAGGCTGGAGTGCAATGGCGCGATCTTGGCTCACTGCAACCTCCAACTCCTGGCTTCAAGCAATTCTCCTGCCTCAGCCTCCTGAGTAGCTGAGACCACAGTTGCCCACCATCACGCCTGGCCAATTTTTTTATTTTTAGCAGAGATGGGGTTTCACCATGTTGTTCAGGCTAGTCTCAAACTCCTGACCTCACGTGAACAGCCCGCCTCAGCCTCCCAAAGTGCTGGGATCATAGATGTGAGCCACCATGCCCGGCCAGGGACAGATAAATTTATAGGGAGTTTTAATAAAGTTCCAATTATTTCCCAAACTAATATCTCGTGTATTTCCCTTCTGTGTCATTTTTGAGGGGTCTGAAGGGGTCTTCAGTGGCATCATAGTGTTTATTCAGTTCCATATCCTGCTCTGTCCACACAAATTTGCTTCATTGAAAACTCTGACCAGCCTGGGCAACACAGTGAAACCCCATCTCTTAAAAAAAAAAAAAAAAAAAAAAAAAAAAAAAAAAGCTGGGTATGGTGGTATACGCCTGCAGTCCCAGTTACTCAGGAGGTGGGAGCATCGTTTGAGCCCAGGAGGGTTGGGGTTCTCCAAACTGTAGTAAGCCATGATCGCGCTACTGCACTCCACCCTCTCTCAACCTCCTGAGTGGTGGGGCTTACAGGCGCATGCCACTATGTTCAGCTGAAACGTTGCTTTAGTAATCATTCTCCTATTGCTAGACCTTTGTTTCTTTTTTCGCTATTATAAATACTATTGTGATAAACACCTTTGGGCACATATCTATGTTTCTGATCACTTCTTTATGGTAAAAATCATCTTCAAAATGGAATTACTGTGACAAGAAACTATCCAAGTTAATAAGAAAATTATTTTGAAGAAAAGATTCCACATGCATCGGACTCTACTTACTCTTAAGCTACAAACAGATCTTTTCACTCACATCTCTTATAAATAATTCATACAGCCTGATCACACTCTGCTTATATGTCTCCCTAATGAAAATATCTAGATTCTCCTGTAATATGAAATAAGCATTAACCGGAATTTTTGTTATTTGACCATGCCAAAAAAAGCAAACTTACATTGCAAAGTAATACAGCTCAAACAAATATAATTAACAACCAGATTATAAAAACTGAAATTATTCTGTAAAAAATTAGTAACAGATACAAACATAAAGTTAATTCTAATACTGAACTGCTGCTCTTCTGTAACAAACAACTGAACTGTAACCTATTTAACACTGGGGTTCCTGTAATTAGAGAAAGCAGAAATAGAAGAAGAGTCAAAGGCAAAAATGCCTGTGAGAAACTGAACTTGAAAATTTCAAAAAACTGTAGCTGACATAAAAAAAAATTCAGTCTCAGAGAAACTAAAATATTTCTTACTTAACAAAAACCACAACTTCTTGAATGTTCCAAAAACGTGGTTAGAAAGCTCTGAGGTATTTTTTTCTACATAATGAAAATGGAGTTATATATTGGTACAACCATTCTGGAAAACTATATTCAGCAAAGACCTCTAATATTCACATTTTAATATCTCTCCTAGGATTCTAGTCGGTAACAAATTCAAAAGACAAATGGATATTTGTCCTGGTATTAATTCCGAACAGCAAAAACTAGTACAAGCCTGAATGATTAACAGCAGGGAAACAATGTATAAGATGCATATAAAAGATTGTATGACCAAACTCACAATTCTTAGTACATTAATGAATAGGAAAATACCTAAAATGTCAAGCGAAGAAAGCTTGGTATTATGTCACATCTGTCCAAAAAATATATATGCCCAAGGAAGATCAGAAAAAAGATGTATCAAGACACTTCAAATGAAGCTGAATAAAAGTCAGGATTCTTGCCCTACAAGGTAGCAAGGCTTAAAAAACCATAATAATTTACGAAGTATGGGTGCTGAGTTAGACAAAGTAACCAAGAGAATAAAACTCAGAATTAAGGAATGGCTACACACATAACTGAAATGTTGATATGCTGGTAGCATGGCAGATCAACTGAGAAAATAAAGTGGAGCTACAAAAACTGGCTACACAAATGGGAAAAAGATGGATCCTTACCTCACACCACACATAAATATGAATTCCAACTGACTGAAGAATTTCAATGTCAAAAGCAAAACTGTGTAACTTTTCGGTGAAAATATAGGTAAATGATTTTCTGACCTTGGGAACAGCAGTAATTTCTTTAAAAAGCCACACACATTACTAGCTCCAAATGGAACGTAAAGACTTCCCTATAAATCAAGATAGCTTTTAAAAAATAAAAACACAAGGTGCAAATTGGGAGCAGATTCAGGAACACATCTGACATAACTCTAGCAACAAGGATACAAGGAACAAACTCATACAAATCAATTAAAATGTGACAATCAACGGAACAAATAGGGCTAAGACAAAAAAAGCTATTTCATAGAAGAGGGAATAAATATGACCAATATATACGCACAGAGCCGACAACCTCTTCAAAATGTGGAAACGGCGAATCAAGATCACAGACCATTTTACACCACTCAAATAGCAAAAATCTCAAAGTGTGAAAATAAGCCAAGGAGAATATATGGATCAGGAAGAGCTCTTACATATGCTGTTAATGGGAGAATTAATTGGTAACACCACTTTGGAAAACAATTGTCATTACCCTGTAAATTTGGACCCAGAGTCTGGGAGACAAAACTCAACATTAATATTTTTAAGAATTAAAGACAAACAGGCTACAATGCTGGCTCATGTCTGTAATCCCAACACCTTGGGAGGCCAAGATAGGAAGAGTGCTTGAGTCTAGGAAGTGGAGTCCACGATTTTCCATTCCTTTGGTATACAGAAGGGAAACTCCTATACTGTCTCCCAAAAGGGCACAGCAGATGCATTTATAATAGAAAAAACTGTCCACTGACAGGTAGATAAATATACTGTTACATTTACAAAATGGAAGTATTATATAGCAATGAAAATCAATGAGCCACAACTACAAACAGCCTCATAAATTTTTACAAAGAGAAAAAAAGGTCCCAGAAGACCTGCTGTATGACCCCCTTGTTTAAAGTTCAAAACAAACTAAATTAGGCAATACAGTGGTCTCTCCTCATCTCTGGTTTTGCTTCCTGTGGTTTCAGTTACCTGAAGTTAACCATGGTCTGAAAATATTAAATGGAAAGTTCCAGAAACAATTTCTCAGCTTTAAATTTCATGCCATTCTGAGCAGCATCATGAACTCTTATAGTCGTGCTGTGTTCCACTGGCAACATGACTCTTCCCTTCATCCAGTGTATCCATGTTGCCTACACTCCCCGCCCATAGTTCACTTGGTAGCCATCTTGATGATGAGATCTGTTGCTATGGTATTGCAATGCTTGTGTTCAAGGAACCCTTATGTGACTTAATAATGGCCCCAAAGCACAAGAGTAGTGATGCTGGCAATGCAGATATGCCAAAGAGAAGCTGTAAAATGCTTCTTTAAGTAGAAAGTCAAAGTTCTCAAAGAAAAAAAATCATATGCTGAGATTGCTGAGATCTAAGAACAAATCTCTTATCCATGAAACTGTGAAGAAGGAAAAAGAAATTTGTGCTAATTTTGCTGTCGCCTCTCAACTGCTAAAGTTATGGCCACAGTACCTGATAAGTGTTAAGATGGAAAAAGCACTGAATTTGTGGGTGGAAAACACGATCAGAAACAAATGTTCCAATTGACAGCAACATGTTGAGCCACATTTAATTTACTTTTTTTTTTTTTTTTTTGAGATAGAATCTCACTCTGTCACCCAGGCAGGCTGGAATGCAGTGGTGTGATCCCAGGTTCAAATGATTATTCAACCTCCACCTCCCAGTTTCAAGTGATTCTCTTGCCTCAGCCTCCCAAACTAGGTGGGACTATAGCCGTGTGCCACCACACCCAGCTCAATTTTGTATTTTTTAGTAGAGATAGAGTTTCACCATGTTGGCCAGGCTGGTCTTGAACTCCTGACCTCAGGATATCCACCTGCCTCAGCTTCCTAAAGTGCTGGGATTACAGGTGTGAGTCACTGCACCTGGCCCACATTTAATTGACTCTGAATTAAACTTGACCATAATTATGTATATATGGGGAAAAGCACAGTATATACAGGGTTCAGTACTATCCATCCCCCATTATCTGAGAGGGATAACTTCCAAGACCAGCGGATGCCTGAAACCTTGGATGGTAACTAACCACTTTACATATTATGTTTTTTCCTATATCTATATACCTATCATCAAGTTTTATATACAGGCATAGTAAAATTAACAACAACTAATAATAAAATAGAACAATTATAATAATATGCTGTAATGCAAGTTACGTAAATGTGGTCTCTCCCTCTCTCAAAATATATTACTGTACTATAATTACCTACTTTTAGACCTTGGGTTAAATGAAACCAAGAAAAGTAAAACTGTGATAAAGGAGTGTTTAGATATACACATGTAAGAAAAGCTAAGAATTAAAGACAGAATGATAAAACACATTCCAGATAATGATTACTTATGGGAGGAGGTAGAGGATGGGATGGGAGGAACACATAGGTAAATGTAAGTTATTGGGAATGTTTTAATTCTTCATATGTTGGGAGGTGGGTCTATAAGTATCCTACTTTACAGAAAATAAAATGAAAAAGATATCCCTTATTGTGACAAGAGCTCTTAGGAGGTTGTGGGATTATGGGTGATTTTTATTCACTTCTTCATCTGCTTTTCAGTAGTTCAAACACTTAAAACTAACCACTATTACCCTGACAGGCTAAGACAGACACAATCACAGTTTTGGTTTTGAAAAAGACTGCCTTTTGGGCAGTGAGGATAATGTAACTGGTATTATCTCAAGCTTCATGATACTGTTCCTGGGCTCCTTGCTGCCAGGCCTCCAGAAACAGAAGCAATGGATGACGTCTTTCCCACATGCTGGGAGACAAAACTCAACATTAATATTTTTAAGAATTAAAGACAAAACAGGCTGCAATGGTGGCTTATGCCTGTAATTCCAGCACTTTGGGAGGCCAAGGTAGAAGGGGGCTTGAGCCTAGGAAACTGAGTCCAGCCTGGGCAAGACAGTGAGGCCCCTTCTTACCATCTTAGCTGGGTATGGTGGTGTGTGCCTGTGGTTCCAGCTACCTGGGAGACTGAGGTGGGAGGCTCACTTGACCTGTGGAAGCCACGGCTGCAAGGAGATGTGATCACGCCACTGCACTCCAGCCTGCGTGACAGAGTGAGACTCTGTCTCTAAATAAGTAAGTAAATAAAAATAAAATTTTAGTACCAACCTTTAACGTCACTCAATTGATTGGTATATAGAAGTCTATTTGCTTGATTATATTTTGTAAACAACAGCCAGAACACAGATTCCTCCTTCGAACAGAGTCCAGTCACGGTGTTCTTTAACTCTTCCAAGTGCACCAAAGCTGACAGGATACAGTCCAACCAACAGAGAGCATAAGCATTTTTCCACTGGACACACAGAGTCTGGGGAAATGATGTACATTTCCTCTCCAACGGCGTTTCCAGTTTAGATGTACATCCTTCGCTTTGAAGGGAAGGTCTGCCAGTTCCAGAAACATCCCCCGTAGCAGGATCTTTTGTAGTAGCCATGTCAACAGTATCAGCTTCCAAAATCTCATTTGGCTCCAAGGAATCAGCTGTCCTAATTGGATTCTGTTGACCATTACTACCAGGTAAGTTTGATGAGTTTTCATCATATACTTCTCCATTATGTTTGCTGTTCAAAATTTGTTCATTATCAGTAACAATACAATTTCTAGTCTTTTTGGAATTTGCTAAAAGAAGTGAATCTTTATAGCTGCTTTCCAGGTTCTTCCTTTTTTGAGGCTTATGTGGAGTGTGACATTCTTCTGAATCAGGAGAAATTAGGTTATTAAGTGATTTAGAGCCCAAAGGATAAATGCACTGGAAAGTAAAAATAAAATGGTAAAAACCACAGAAATTCAAGTAACTTCATGTATTATAATTTTCATTATCATAAAAAATATGTATGGAATTTTAGCATTAATTTCAAGATAGGTTATATTTATACACGTAAATTTGAAAAAATTAGAGACAACTACTAAATCAAAAATGTAGCCTCCAAAAGAATCATTTTTTTTTTTCAGGTTAATCTGAACAATCAAGGGTTTAATCTGAGTTACACAAGGGTAAGCGAATAAGGAAAACATATTTTTGCTTCAATAAAAATCTAATGTTAAGTGAATTTAAAATTTCCAACAATGTAAAGAAACACTCTATAATGAATGTTACTCTTTTGGACAGACGCCACACAGCACTACACATTTTCAAAGTATTTTCAAATTAAAAAGACATGGAGCAATTTCTAGGTTTCCTATATTTTGAAATTGAATATGCATCTCAGAGCACTGCTGTTTTACATCCTTATTGGGTTTCGATCAAGTCCAACTGGCTGAATTTTAATGACTTCATCACATCTTACTGTGCATTAACACAATTTCAGCCAAATAACAACAATGCAAACAAATCACTAAAAGAATCACTGGATCTTTCCTAAGTTTAAAAACTACCAGAATATTTTAAGTAACAAATACAAGAACCCTCTACATTAAAGGTTTGCTTTTAAAACCTGCCTTCTGGCCGGGCGCGGTGGCTCAAGCCTGTAATCCCAGCACTTTGGGAGGCCGAGGCGGGTGGATCACGAGGTCAAGAGATCGAGACCAGCCTGGTCAACATGGTGAAACCCCGTCTCTACTAAAAATACAAAAAAAAAAATTAGCTGGGCATGGTGGCATGTGCCTGTAATCCCAGCTACTCAGGAGGCTGAGGCAGGAGAATTGCCTGAACCCAGGAGGCGGAGGTTGCGGTGAGCCGAGATCGTGCCATTGCACTCCAGCCTGGGTTAACAAGAGCGAAACTCCATCTCAAAAAAAAAAAAAAAAAAAAAAAAAAAAACCTGCCTTCTTTTTCAAGTGGGCATGGCAGTACACTCCTGTATTCCTGCTACTTGGGAGGTGGAGGTGGGAGGATTGCTCAAGCCCAGGAGTTGGAGGCTGCCATGAGCTATGATTGCCCCACTCTATTGCTCTAGCCTGTGCAATAGAGCAAGACCCAGTCTCTAAAATAATGATAACAATAAAAAGTTAATTAATGCCTTCTTTTATACAAGTATAGTAGATTACTATCTTGGTGGCCCTCCTGTGAACTAGAGAACCACACCTCTTGGTAATTCATGCCCTCCTGTACCCAGGCCCTGCACTGTACAGAGTTGGCTTGGCCATGTGACTAGCTTTGCCGGAACATCAGCACGCATGATACACAGAGAGGCCTGATAAGCACTGGCTCAAGACGACAAGCAATTCTTCTGGAACACCCCTTCTTAGTTCCAGGTTCCAGCTGGCATCATGGAGAGAACCTCATGGGAAACAACTGAGACCCCTGGCTGACTACTTGAGCTCAACTGCCAGCCAGCAGCTAGTACCACTGCCAGCCATGTGGACATCTCAGTTGTCCCAGCTGACATGGTATGATATGTAAGAATTCCCTTGTCGACTCACATAATCATGTGAAATAATAAATGAAGCCATTAAAATTTTTTTCGAGACAGGGTCTGGCTCTGTCATCCAGGCTGGAGTGTAGTGGCACAATCACAGCTCACTGCAACCTCCGTCTCCTGGGCTCAAGTGATCCTACAACCTTAGCCTCCCAAGTAGCTGGGACTACAGGCACCTGCCACAGTATTTCTATAGAGACAAGGTTTCACCATGTTGCCCAGGCTGCTCTCAAACTCCTGGGTTCAAGCAATCTGCCAACCTTGGCCTCCCAACATGATGGAGTTCTAGATGTGAGCTACCATGCCCAGCCGCCATTCAAATTTTTGAGCAACTAAGTTTTAAGGTGATTCATTTCACACCAACAGGTAACTGAAATGCACTAAATCCCCTCAGAGAGCCTTTTCTACTACACTATTGAACAGTACACTCATAATACTGCACTTACTATGAAATTTTTTAGCATAAATGGACAAGTTCTAGATTCTTCTGACTTTCCAACTAGCTGCAGTCATCATCAGCTAACAACCTGCCAACATTACGCTTTGAAATTACTTCCTAAGTCCTACCATATGTCAGAAAACTGAGAATGCTTTAAAAATAGCATTTACGTATTCAAAGCATCATAAATAGGTACGTATCCAAAAAAATTGAAAACAGAATCTTGAAGAGATGTCTGTACACCCACGTTCATTGCAGCATCATTCCCAATACCCAATAAGTGAAAGCAACTCAAACATCTGCAGATAGGTGAATGGATAGAAGCACAGGAACAGAAAGCCAAACACTGCATGCTCTTACTAATAAGTGGGAGTTGAACAATGAGAATACATGGACACAGGGAGGGGAATATCACACACAGGGGCTGTCGTGGGGTGGGGGCTTAGGGGAGGGATAGCATTAGGAGAAAAACCTAATGTAGATGACAGGTTGATGGGTGCAGCAAACCACAATGGTATGTATATACCTCTGTAACAAACCTGCACATTCTACACATGTATCCCAGAACTTAAAGTATAATAAAAAATAAAAATAAAAATAAACTGGAGATTAAGACTTCAAAAAAAAAAAAGTCAGGAACTCCTATCACATGCAAGGATGAACCTTGAGTACATTATGCCAAGTGAAATAAGCTAGCCACAAGAAAGGCAAATACTGTATGATTCTGTTTATATGAGGTACTTGGATTCATAGAAACAGAAACTAGAGGCCGGGTGCGGTGGCTCACGCCTGTAATCCCAGCACTTTGGGAGGCTGGGGTGGGTGGATCACAAGGTCAGGAGTTCGAAACCAGCCTGGCCAGCATGGTGAAACCTGCTAAAAATACCAAAATAAAAATTAGCTAGGCATGGCGGCACACCCCTGTAGTTCCAGCTACTCGGGAGGCTGAGGCAGCGGAATTGCTTGAACCCTCAGGCAGATTGCAGTGAACCGAGATCGTGCCACTGTACTCCAGCCCGGGCGATAGAGCAAGACTTTGTCTCAAAAGACAAAAAAAGAAGAAAAGAAAAGAAACAGAAATGAGAATGGTTGACAAAAGCTGGAGGAGAGGAAAACGGGAAGTAGTTGTTTAACGGGTACAGAGTTTCAGTTTTTCAAGACGCAAAAAAGTTCCAGAGACCTGTTGCACAAGTGAATGTACTTAATACTCCTGAATTTTATATTTTAAAATGGTTAAGATGATAAATTTTTTTACAATTTTAAAATTAAAACAAATTTTTTGAAGAGAAAAAAAAAAGTCCTGAGACAAACACCCTTGGTGAATCTCAAGCAGTCAAGATCATGGTGTACACATCCTACTTACACCTCTACTTCATTCAAAACAGTAATAAACCTCTGGTTCCAAAGCAATGTACATTAAAAACAAACAAAAAAACCCAGTAAATTAACCATAAGAGGCCCCGGGACTGCAAAACTTAGTGGTTTCCACTCACACTCTTTGCAAGTGTCTTCACTGACTTTTCTTTATATCATCTGTGCTCCCACCAAAGGGCCAATCTGGAATACAGTTTGAGGTCCTTGCTCTGATTTTTCCCTCTTATAAATTAATGATTTCAGATTTTTATCTTTTTCTTTTTTAAAACTGTTGCCTCTTTCCACATGTTCTAAAGATCTCTATCTCTTTATACCTGACTCCTTTCTATTTACAATGAACACATATGATTTTTACAACTAGAATAAAGCTTTTAAGCTGTCTTTTAAAAATTCATAAAAATATACCCAAACCATTAGTATTTTAGCTCAGCACAACCATCTAGTATCATTTAAAATCCAATGCTGAAAAAAACCTAATCCTGTCTCTGTCACTGAGTTTTGGAGCAGCTTACGTAAACTCCTGTATTTATTCTTGTAAAATAGGAATAAGGAAAACATATCATGTCTTCTTATATTTGGATAAGTAATTATCAACAAGGTATGGCCAAAGACAAATTATAATAACAATGTATTCATTTTACAAATGAAGAAAACAACAAAAAAAAGTTTTCTTTGATTATTTAACACTAATGATTTAAAAACTTCATTACAAATTTCATAGGTTTAAAAAAAAAAAACCTAAATAAATGTTCCAAAGTAAACAATGAATGACAGACTACTCCAAGAAAAAAAAAAAAAGTTAAAACTTCCTACTGGTTAAATACACTTGAGAGTTTCAATCTGGTATAATTTTGGGCCAGTCTTATATTAGTTTTTTTTTTTTTTTAACAAATCAAGGAACATTTTAATGTAAATACTTGACAAAAAGAAGTTTTCCAAACGGTTCTTTGCAATTTATAGCACAGCAGACTCCAAATTTCATAACGAAACTCTTTGGAAACAATTTGATTCAGGGGTCTTATAGAGCAGGGATCAGCAGAGTTTACTGATAAAAGGCTAGATAATAAATATTTAGATTTTGTGAGCTACAGTCTTCCACAACTACCCAACTCTGTTGTATGCAAAAGAAATCATGAACAATACATAAATGATTGAGTATGGCTATGTTCTGGTAAAACTTTATTTATGAACACTGAAATTTAACTTTCATTTAATTTTCATGTATTATGAAAGGGCATTCTTTTGATTTTTTCTGGCATTTTTCTTTTGATGTTTTTCTAACCATTTAAAAAACATAAAAATCATTCCTTGCTTATGCATCATACAAAAAGTCTGCTCACCCCTGGTGTAAACCAATCTACTTCATAAAGTACACTGGACTCTCATTGCTGACTAGATAGAAATTTTAAAAATAATAATAAATTACTCAAGTTCCTTTTTAACATTTCCAAAGTATAAACTTAAAATTCTTGATTATACATTTTTTGCTTTATCACTTAAAAAAGAATACTTCAAGAACAAAAAAATCCATGTAGTACATATAACTTTAACAGCCAAGATCTATCTCCTGAGGACAAGGACTTCTCTATTCTTATGGTCCTTAGTTGAAGAACTCTACTGAAATATCATGTCTTAGTCAAAACAAGAAAAACAGTAATTTTTGCCTGATTCAGTAGAATTTATTGCTACCAAAACTGTCTCTCTCATCTCAAACTCTAATGCCTGATGCATAAATCCTACTGTTTATTCCACCAACCCACAGATGTTAAATGCAAGCCTCAAGCCCGACTGGCCCTGACCTCCTAATCTTCCCCCCAAAACCTTGCTCTTCCAAGTCTTCCCAGGTTAGTAATCGGCAATTCCAGTCTTCTCATTTTTCAAGCCAAAAATCTTGGAATCATCCTTGAGTCCTCTTTCCAATCCCATATCCCAATCTTTCAACAAATCCTGTTGGCTTTACCTTCAAAATATAAATAAACTTCAATCATGTCCCAACACTTCTGCCACCACCCTCTCCCCTGGAATACTGCAACTGCCTTCAACTAGTCCAAAGGGAAGAAAGCTTTTTTTCCCTTTCTACTTATCAATCTAAAAAAAAGGAAAGAGAGAGAAGCTTTTAAAAAGCAAATGGTATTTATTCAGGAATAAAGTATTGCAGTGGGAATACACATGCCATAGTAAACTGTGTGTTCAGTGAGGTAAAGACAGACTAAAGATTTTTAAAGGGAAATGAGGAGGGTTACATACTTGTTTTGAGATAATTATCCTTGGCTACGAGCATCAATAATAAGGATGACACCAGTCCAAGGGCGGACCAGGCAGCTGCTAGGCAGATGTCCTTGCAAAAGTACTTTCTGTGTAAGTCATGATGACCTTTGTGCAAGGTTGTGTTTTTTGCAGAGTCTTTTGACTTATTTTGGTATTGATGCATAAAAACTCTCTCTTCATAGCCTTTCCTGGCTCTATTTTTCTTTTCTTTTCTTGTTTCTTTTTTTAATACAGACAGGGTCTCACATTCTGTCATCCAGGCTGGAGTACAGTGGCACAATCACAGCTCACTGCAGTCTGGCCCTCCTGGGCATGATGGCGTGTGCCTGTAGTCCCCCTCTCAAACTGCTGGGACTACAGATGCACACCACCATGCCCAGCTAATTTAAAAAAAATTTTTTTTGTAGGGACAGGGTCTCACTATGTTGCACAGGCTAGCCTCTAATTCCTGGGATCAAGCAATCCTCCTGCCTCAGCCTCCCAAAGTACCTAGATTACAGTTGTCAGCCACTGTGCCTGGCCAGTCGGGGGATTTTTCATGTTTTTCTTTTTTTAAACACAAGTGACTCTATTTTGATTCTGACAATTTTCACATATTTTATCCTCCCAGCATACTTTTGTGACAAAAGTTGTGGGGGCTTTTTCCCTCTACCAAGCAATTCTCCAGAGGACACCACATGGGTATCCTATAATCCAATTCCATTTGATGCCATCTGCCTAGAGACAGTGTCAGAGCTCCTGTCTCAGCCTTCCAAGTAGCTGGGATTACAGGCACCCACCACCATACCTGGTTAACTTTTGTATTTTTAGTAGAGGTGGGGTTTCACCATGTTGGCCAGCCCGGTCTCAAACTCCTGACCTCAGGTGATCTGCCTGCCTCAGCCTCCCAAAATCCCGGGATTACAAGGGAGAGTCACCACGCCCAGCCAAATCTCGATATTTTTATATCGGCTTGATCTCCAGCCCCTCCACTCCTTTCCTGGAGGCTTGTGGGTGGGGCTAAAAGTTCTAACCCATTAATTCTCTAATCCTGTGCTCTTTCCAGCTACTTGCCCCATCTGAGGCTATCCAGGGCTCCATCCTACGTCACCACATTAGTATGAACTCTGGTGTTAGCAAACAGGCTCATTATGAATAGCAGAACACTCTCATCACTAAGGAAATTCCAAGAGTTTTAGCTCTGTGACGGAAACCAGAGACAAGGACCAAATATAATTCATATTATACCATAACTAATCTCCCTGCTTTAGGTCTTGCCCATTACATATTATTTTCAACAGCACAGCCACAGTAATGCTTTTAACGAAGTCAATTTATGTCATTCCTCTACCAACATCTCTGCCATGGGTCCTGTTTCGCCCAGAGTAAAAGGCAGAAAGCTTACAATGGCCTATAAGACACTACTTAGCCCAGCTCCCCCATTATTTTTCTGCCACCTTCTCTCACTCTGCTGGTTTCACTGCAGTAGCACAAATATGATGGGCAGTCTCCATTCTCTCAGGGCCTTCCTGAATTAGCTCCCCCTGCCTAGAAGGCTGACTGCTCTTCACCTCTTACAGGCGTCTGTGCCAATCTCAACGAGGTGTTCCCCTCACCCTCCTATTGAGAATTGCAAACCTCCTACTTTGGCCTTCCAGTCCCTACTGCTTTATTTCTCTGCACAGCACTTTTTACTCCCTGACACAAAAACACACACTTGTTTGTTGCCTTTCCCACTCTACAACATCACCTCCTTAAGGGCAAGAAATTTTTGTTTTATTCTTGTATCCTAACATTGCATTTGGAACAGTGCCAAATGGTGGCACTCATAAAAAAATTATTGAATGTATGCATAAAGAAATTTGTTTATATTTGTAGACATGCCTGGGATTACTTTACTTCAAATTACATCCAGTGTAAGTATTAACAACCATGTGATTTAGTCTAGAATTTTCTAAACCTCGCTGATCATCAGACTCATCCTCAAATGTTACAGAATTCTGTGCCAACTCTACTGATCAGCATCTGGGGGTGATACTCAAATTTATTAAAAGTACTCAAGGTGATTCTGATGAACTGCTAGTTTTTTGCTGGAATAAACAGATCTGAAATTAGAAGTCTGCATTCCAACTACAGCTCTGCCACTGTAACAGGATCTTGTATTCCTAAACCCTCTGAAATCAATCTATTTTCTTATTCATAAAATACAATACCAATCTTCCAAAGTTCTGAGAATTAAATGTGTGTAAGACAGTCTCATAAACTGTCGAATACAATAAAATGTAGAGTATCACACAATTTAATGAGCTGCTATATAAAAGTTGTACCAGTGGGTACAAATTATTATAATTCTAAAAGATATTTAGAGCTTCTAAAAGGATCTTTTAGAATTTACAAGATTCTATGCTCTATTTAGTTCAGAACATATATATTGGTTTTGGACTAACCAATTTCCAAAATACTCTTCCAGGTACATTAGACATTCATAACTTTTCCCATCAGTTCCAAAGGCAAAGCAAAGAGATGACAGAGTAACAACTATATGATAATGGCTAACAAGGACCTCCACAAGGTTAAAAAAAAAAAAAAAAAAAAAAGAAACAATCTTGAAATGTATTTTCTCCTCTCGCAAGGCAATAAAAACAAACATCTTTATGCAATCAAGGAAAAGTAGGTGGAAAAATAACATATATTTCAAATTGTATACCAGACAGGCTTAGAAACTGAGATGACATATTAAAAATCTAGTCTAAAAAATGAGTAAAATTTTAAAACAATTAAGAAAAAGGTAAAAGGCTAAAACTATATACTATAAAAGATTAATACTTTACCTGCAGATCCTCACATAGAGAGATAGATTCTTGAAAACTAATTCGGTAAGTCTTTAAGGCTTTTAACTTTCCCTTCTCTCTACAAGCAGGGCAATACCCATCAGATGGAACTTTAGCTGGATCATAATTCTAAAAGATAAATAAAGCAAATTAAAATATAGACATTCTTAGAACATATCAAAATATTAAAAGTTAAATGGAAAGGTAACCAGAAAAAAATCATAGTTTTCAATTATAAGTATCCTGGCAAGATATTTTAAACATGGCAAATAAAAGAAATGCATATAAGCCTTTAAATACAGTTATTATTTCAAAAAGAATTATGTTATAGTTTTAAATATTAAATTTTAAGTGTTAAGAATAGCATCAATTTTATTTGCAAGAAAAAAAGTAATATCAACTGCCAGGGAGAACTTACGTTCCATATTTTCAAAGAGCAGTAAATCATAAGGTCTATGTTTTATTTCTATTTTCATATATCAATAAAAGACAGAGAGGTAAAACACATTAAAACAATCTTTCGCCATTACTGTAAGATTTCCGTGGAAGATACAACTTTTTAGAAGTTAATTTGTAACATCAAAACTGAATTTAAGTCTCAAAAATAGAGAAAAAAAAAAACTTTGCACTCAGGCAAAAAATAAGTTCACTAACTTTTCCCAAATACCCCACCATGTGGAGTGAAGATACCCCTATATCAGCCCCTGGTCCAATCACTGGCAAACCATTTCCAATCTTCGGGGAATCCATCATTCCGAGTCATTGGCTAATTTATGTCACTTGAAACATGTCAATATCACTAAGGATTTTTTTCAATGAACCCTGGAAAAAAAAAGTTAACAGACAATTAAATAAAAATTCTATTTACTATAAAAAAGAACCATGCTATTTTATAAGACGTATATCTTAAGAAGATTTTGAGGGCTACATGTCCTAGAATAAACATATTCTAAAAGTATAATCTTGATGTGAAAATGATACCTGTATTTATAAGCCTAGCAAGTTTGAGGACAGAGGGTAGTGACTGGCAACAGGACCAGTTTTCATAGCAGACTCATTTGTGAACAAATTAAATAAAACTTGTAGTAGAGGTAGCTACTATTTAAAGCAAACTATACTGACCAGAATTTGAAAACCTCACTTTTTAGAGTCTATGCACAATTTGAAACAAATATGCCAGCATTATACTGAGAAAGTACTTTAAAAACCACAGATCCATTGTGCCATTATTTGACAGGGACAAAAGAACCAATGAACCATATATTCCATACATTCCTATTGTTTTCAAGTACCGAGAACATTAACACTTCACCAGTTAGGGAAAATACTACAATACTACTTATTAAAAGCTGCTAACAAATTATTTTAAATGATCTAATTTACACCACGTTTAACTTACTTTGTTATTATCAAAACAAAAATATAAACACTGTCCTAGTACAAATTACACATGTGGCCAGCTTTTGAGTGTAGTCCGACGTCATAGAATCACATTTAACAGTCAAAATTATGAGACATTGGTGCTCAGTGTAAGCAAAAATTAATTAAGAGCAGTTTAATTGTGGGCTTACAATTATAGGGAAATCAAATATAGAGGATCTTTAGGGCAGAGGCGAATTACCACTTAGCAGAAATGACGTAAAATAATTCTAGGCATAAGTCTTTCCCAAATCCAAGAATCCATGATTCTATGACAACTATCTCCTGGGAATCGATGGCTCACAATTCACTAAAAACTAATTATGCTATTTTGGTTCAGCTATATAAACTTCACAAACCTTTCAAGCCAAGGAATAATTTCAAAAATAAGATTGCTTTTTTGAAAAACTCAGTATCAGTGAATCTTAATTTCCTATTCCTGAAGAAATAACCGTAAGACAGGGTTTCTCAGCTGCAGCAGGACAGATATCTTTGACCAAATAATTATTTGTGAAGGCTGTCCTATGCACTGAAGGATGTTTAGCAGCATCACTGACCTTTACCTTCTAGATCCAACAGCCAAAAATGTTTCCTGACTTGCCAAATGTCCCCTGGTAGGCAAAATCACCCCTTCTGGTGAGAACTACTGGTGCTTTTTTCTTTCTTTTTAGGCACAGACGACTTACTACCTTTGCCTGGTTCTATTTATACTTTACTTACAAAAGGGAACTAGAGGACAAGTGTGACCACCTGTAATCCCAGCACTTTGGAAGGCCGAGGTGGGGGGATCACACGGTCAGGTGTTCGAGATCTTACTGCTACTAAAAATGCAAAAAATTAGCAGGGCATGGTGACAGGCGCCTGTAATCCCAGCTACTTGGGAGGCTGAGGCAGGAGAATTGCTTGAACCCAGAAGGTGGAAATTGCAGTGAGCCAAGATCATGCCATTGCACTCCAGCCTGGGTGACAGAGCAAGACTCCATCTCAAAAACAACGATAATAACAGCAACAACAACAACAACAGGGAACTCGGTAGCAGTCAAACTTCCATGGTTCCTGCTTTGCAAGCTGTGTACCTGCGGATCTTGGTCCAGAAACTTACCTGTAAAATTGGTTTATTCTAAGAATTAAATGATGTAAAGCACATAAAAAGCTTAGCACCTGACAAATTAAATTAAGCCTACTATTTTGTACTAATTTTATACTTCATTCTGCATATAGAAAAAGCAGTACAACTTGCATCATTCTTCGGTACTCTCAAAAGGGAAACTAGTAGGCTATGTACCTTGAATAAACTGTTTTTGATGAAAATTTCTGTCTACCTGAAGAAACTTAGAAAACCTTTTCAAGTCAAACGGTTTTCTCTTTGTCTCTCTCAATTATAAGAGATAAAGAGCTTCCAAATCTGGTCTCTGAATTCCATCACCCAACATTTCAACGGGAAAAACAGAGAGGTTGGTGGTTGAAATGCTGAATATATAGAATCCCCCAAAAGAAAATTCATTTAATACCAGAGGTTTATTTGTCCATATGGGGGACATTTAAAAAATACCAGAGGTGAGCTCACCAGGTCTTCTTCCAAATACAATTCACTTTGACTTACATACAAAATCTTGGGGTGGATTTTACAACTTAATCTGACCCTAAGTAATTACTCTTTCTCCATTGAAAAGCAATCTCCTCCTCCTTTCCATATCTCACTTAAATGTGGGCGTCTCCATCCTTCCAAACACACAGATTATAAAGTCTGAGTTGTTCCATATTCTTTATTTCCCTCTTCACACGGTAAGTCACAAAACTCTGTGGACAGTTGTTTGGGAAGGTCTCAAAATCCCCACCTCTTTCCATTCCATATCACTGTCAAAATGATGCCCCTATAAGGTAAGTCTGAGCCTGTCAATGATCAGCTTAAAATTCTCTATTTACTCCAGCCTGATTACATCAGAGTCAATCCAAACAGCCCAATATAACCTAAAGATAGTACTATGACCTAAACTCGTACTGTGAAACCAACCCAGCTTTCTAGTTTTATCTTCAACTCTACTTCACCCCCAGCATCTTTCAAGAAACATCCCCTTTTCTTACTTTTATGAGCCACGTATACTCCAGAATCCCTAATGTGAATTATTAGCCCAGCATGAACCCCGTTACAGCACAATGAACGTGTCAAGCTGGCCCTGTGAATCGCAAAAGGTATGCAATTAAACTTCATGCACACTCCTGTGTGCAAAATGGAGAAACCCAGGGAAACAGCTGTTAGAAGAGGGGACCTTATACCCACCCATTTGGGCTTGCCCTCCGAGAGCTAGTAGCTTTCGACGTGAACTGTCAAAAGCGAGGCCAAAGCAACCTGGAAGCCGAGGAACAGGGTCGGCTTTCTGCACCGAGCCCTCTCTGGTACCAAACCCAACTGTCTTGAATCAGAGACGAACAGGACCTAAAGAGATGAGTTTCGACCCAACCTAAGAAGCCTTACTAAGGAGGCGCACAGACCGTTAACCCCGCTCATCTCCACGCTCCTTGGAAAACGAAAACAAACTCTGGTTTCTCTTCAGCGTTCACCTCTCTGCGCCCAAACAGATCTGTGAGTCCAACTCTGTACCTTAACCACGAACCTTTCCCACTTGAACCCCGTCCGAGCCCAGCCCATCCTTTCAGCGCGCCGACTACCCCATAGGTCATCCCAGCTCTGTCCCTTTTCCCTACTTCGAGAGCGGAAAGGAACCTCTCCCTCTTTTCCCGTACCTGCCATGGGCACTCCCCTTCTTCGTACCGGGTCGTTCGGAACTCCCGTTCCAGCTCGATCTCCACACCACCTAGCTGCAACGTTCAACCCACGTTCCCCTCCGACTGCTCCTCCCCCACTCGCGTCTCCACTAGGAAGGCGGCTTCCGGCTTGAGTCCGCGGCAAAAGAGTCCCCCTTCCTGCTGCACGCAGGGCCAGAAAGGACTGGGGCGTGGTGGGGAAAGTGAAGAACGGAGCACTTCCGGTCGCTTTCCGCAGAGGCGTGGCTGCCTGCCCTGCGGCCGCAGACGCAGTTGCGACTGCGGCGACAAGTAGGGGCGGGGCCGGTGACTGCTGAGCCCGCCATGTGTGAGTGGCTGGGTTTGGGGAGGCGACGTTTCTGGAAGCTGCTGGAAAGCGCTGGAGTGGCGGAGGTGGCGCCAGCAGCCAGGGGGTGGGGCGTGATTAAAACTAGTGCGCGGCTGCTGCGGAGGGATTACCCAAGGAAACAGACTTGCTTACGCTCCGCTGTTTCCTGGTCCGCGCGAGCGTGGTTGGGAACCGCTGGGCCCTGGAGTGACCCGCGGAGGTGGGAGACGGAAGGGCTCCCGAAGCCGGCGTGGCTGCCATGGAGGCTTTCAGCCGGCGCAGCCTTAGCCGCTCGGCCGCCGCGGGCATCCGTAGTCCGCTCTCCCAAAGCCTCGGTGGAGCCAAAGCTGCCACAGAGTGCATGTTCACAAAGGGTCATCACACACGGAGCTGCCCCTCCCCGTCTCCCTAGAGCCCACCTTCGAGCCAGGGGCTTTTCTACCAGGATTCTGGGGTGTTTCTCCTCCCTTCCTCCCTCCCAGATCTTCTCACGGTAAGGGGAGCAGCGAAAGCACAGGGACTTTGCATTCCACGACCCGTTCTGACTAGTCAGCAGCCGATCTGTCCCTGCTGCACTAATTCCAGCTGCCCTGCCTTGTTTTAGCTTCAGAGAAAGGGGGAGTTCTCATTTGATAAGTTTAAGCCTCTGCTTTCGTAGGAAGGTCATGTGGCTTAGGGGACATCGTGACCGCTTGTGCTATTTCTGCGTGTGCATTCTAAATCTTGGGGGCAGCCTATTCCAGAAGTCCTTTTGCTCGATTGGTTCAGTGCCTTAGGATAACAATTTGTACTTTCTATTTCTTTACAGACTAACCACAATTGGCACTTTGTACTGTGGGGTCTTTAGTGGTCTAAAACCAAATGATTATGTTCTGGACTAATGCTGATAATTTGGATACGGTGGTATGGAGGAAACAAGTATCGTGCAGAAGAAATTCTTTAGTAAAAAGGATTTTAGTTTTTGGTTCTTCTGAATGCAAATGGCCAAGGAATCCAACAGAGTTTGTTGGGCTTTCTCCAGATAAAAATAGGCTCGTTAATTTGTTTGCCTTTTTCTGCTGTTTTACTAGATTATTAACGTATTTGTATATTTAAGATCTAGCTAGTTTTTTTTAATGTATTGTGATTAAAATTTGAGAGAGTAGTATTTCCTCCTAAAATAGCCAGAACTCAGAGGGTTTTCTTGCTCACCATTGCTATTTCCATTTTTAGAAAGGAATACGCTATTTGTAAAAAAAAAAAAAAAAAAAAAAAAAAAAACTTGCTAAGTATTAACTTATAAATTGAACAAAACAATTGGTTCTGTTAAAATGTAGCTAAAATTGTAAGACTGCAAAACATTATCACCAAACTGGATTATATTTTTAAAACATTGTTGCAAAAACATTGTCTGCCAAGTTGAATTTTAGTCTTTTAGTGTAAATTTGATTTTTTTCAGAAAAAAAATTACTAGTAACGAAATGGAGGTGGGGCTTGAGATGTAAAGAGAAAGGAAGGGATTTTAATGTTTTATCTCCAGAGCTTAAGACCCTTGGAAAAGGTAGTACAAGACTTTTAAGATGAAGGAAGAACTTTGATATAGGAGATCAGCAGAGATTGACTAGAAAACCTCTTTCGTTTATATTATAGAGTAACGGTACCAAGTTGAAAATACTGTATACATTTCTGCTTATTTCTATGTATTTGAAATGCTTTTGTCTACGTACCCTGGTCCTAGAGAGAGTGCAGTACCTTCCAGTGGGATTAAAGCTCATTGCCTCCTTCCCCTTGTCAGCGATGTGGGACAGAAATTTTATTGACCTATCTCCAGTTAAAAACTCACATGATATAAAGGAAGAAAGCTTTTATTAAATTAATAACTAACAGCTGCAATAGTTCAGTGCTGTACAGTTAGAATTTTCTTTTTTTCCCCTCATTTGGCCGCTCGTGATGTCAGCTCTTGCACCCTCTGCTAAGTGAGGTTCCTTAACCACAATACAATTGTTTGGCCCAAACCTGGGATATAACAGCTACTTGATACGATTTCTTTTTCTAGTCTCATCAAAAAGATGAGAGTTGAAGTGATTGACTTTACTTTCTAGAAGCACCCTTATGAATACGATCTGTAATCCCACATCTCAATCTTAACATTCAGAAAGCACTGAAAACCTAAAACTTCTTCAGCTTAGCAGCAAAAGTCATTTGATAGCAAAATATGACCTGAACTATTCAGAAGCTGTATATAGTCTTTATCCTATGTGTTTTGCTGGAACTATATTAGTATGTTTGATTATGGGGTGCTGCCCTTGGCCCCAGGTATGTGGGGTGTTATATAATGGTTCGTATACCTTGTAACATTTAAAAACTGTATGAAATTCTTATTTCTAAAACACATCCAACCCTTGGGTTTTAGTTAAGGAATTGTAAACCTGTATTAATGTTTTTGGCAACATACTTGTGCATATTTTAAAAAATTAAAGTAACAAGGTATTTTAGTTCTTTCAGTAAATTCAGATATATTAGGATAGAAAAAATGCATTATCATATTGTGTGTCTATCATATCGTGCATCTGTCATATTGTATACATTGAAGGATAGAGGTATGCACAGCTTATTTGCAAGTGTAGCCGTATAGTGATCCAAACAAGAAGTTAGTAGTTTAAGGGCTTAAGGTTAGTTTATACTTTAGGCTCTA